ACTCCATACACTTGAACAATTAAAAAAGCCAAAAGATAGGAAGTTTCCTTGTCAGCTCTTTTTGAGTCCTTTTCTAATACTGCTAAAATTCTGCATGATATTTGTTTTAGAACTGCTAACAAACTGCTAACAAAATTTTAAATACAAAAGTTATACTGCAATTTTAAGTCTGAAAAGTAATTAATTCAGACTTGAAACCTCTTGAAACATAGAACTTGAGCTCAAAACAATAAGAATAGAATTTTGCATTCATTTTTTTAATTATACGATTGTTTGCTTCATTGATAACAATGTTATAAATAGTTCATTTAGAATTACACTACAATTGCTGCATTAGAATCCATATTTCTTACTAATTATTTAAACATGAAAAATGAGAACTATAATATTTATATGTACTTTTAATCTCCAAGTCATAATAAAGTTTTTCTCATAAAGGAAATTGACTGTTTTCAACAGTTTAACCTCTTCGTCAAGATGCATTTCTTTACGGTCCTAATTAAAAATTACAGAACAGCAGAACATAATCTTCTATCTCACGAAATTTGCTAAAACAAATTCTTTCGCATTAATTTTGAATTTTATTAACTCTATTTATTCAATATTTCGAGTTCTGGATAATCAATTAGCGGTATCATTCTAAAGCTGCAAAATGTAATTAAGAAGCTCAGCTTCGTTTTTAATGATTCATTTTACCACGCCACTGGGGGAAAAAAAAATATCTGAGTTTTCAGATTTTCAATTACGTCCAAAGGGCGTTTTTCTTAACATTTTGTGTGTTAACTTTATTTATCAAATATCATGTTCTTGGCACTTAAACCATAAAATTCAATTCAATAGCAATGCCGCAGCATATCTTTAGAATTTCCCATACACACTTCCGCGCGCTGGAGACAAAAAGGTTTTTCCCAGCCGTAGAGTGTTGCCATTGCTCCCTTTTAAATCGCTGAGTTTGCTACTCAAAAATTCGTTAAAGTTTTGCAAAATATAAAATCGATAATAAATCAAATTCCAAATTTCAAATTTGGTCTTCCACATGCCCATATCGTAGGAGGATTACGTCATTCAAAATTCGATGGCTCTATGTACCGTTGTTTATCACAATGCGAGAAATATACATACATTTATGCAGATTTTTCTTATTTAAGGAAAATTTGAAAGCTTTCATATTTTATATTGCGCCCAAAAGGATTTTTTTAACGTTTTGTGTGGTACCTTTATTTATTAAATATAAGTTCTTCGCACTTACCATAAAATTCAATTCCACAGCAATATCACAAAATATTTAAAAAGCGCAAAATTTAAGAATTTCCAATACACAGTTTCGGGCGCTGGAGATACATTTCTTTTTTCGTACAGTGTTCCCGTTGCACGCTTTTAAATCGATGAGTTTATTAATTAAAAAATTCGTTAATGTGCTGCAAAATTGGGAATAGCTAATAAAACAAATTCCAAATTCGGAATTTCAAGTGCTCATGTTTGGTTGGAGTACTGCGTTATTCAAAATTGGATGGCTCTAGGTACTGTTGTTTGAAAATGCGGAAACATTCATGCATTCATGCAGAATCTTTCATTATTTAGTTTCTTTAAATATAATGCATGGCAATAATATTTTGTAGCAACAGTTTTGAAAAGTGAATCAACGCAAATGTCGTTTTGAGACTAATAGCCCTTTGGGTTCTAACGCCCCTTTGGGCTTAAAAAAAAAAATGAATGTTAGATTAGCAGTTAAAAAGTCAGAAATAGCAACATTTAACCGATAAGAAAGTCAGAACTCTTTACTACCTCGCTCGAAAAATGCAATTTTGAATAAATGATAATTTGCTTCTTTATTAAATTATTCGTATAACAGGGTTTGCATGAATGGATTATATTCTACTATAAGAAATTTTTCATACCAATAAATTGCCACAGTTAGAGACAGAAAGTACAGTAAACCCTTCTAAGATGACCACAGGTTTCATAAGATTTGGGCTTTTGCGAATTAGAGAAATAGCTCTCAGCACCGATGTCCCAAGTTCTCAGAAATACTAATCATCATAGGAAGATAATCACCAGAAGAAAGTTCACTGTTCACATTCGGAAGTGCATTATTCTATAAATGAAAGTACATTAAGCCGATTCGATTGCGTGTATGGCCGTATCTATTTATATATAGGAAAAATTTTAATATAAAATAAAATGTAGCGTAAATATAGTTACCGTTAAAGCGTATAATTAAGTTATTTCCTCGAATAAGTAAATATTTGGCGGGGGGGGGGGAACTAGCCAAGCCGGTTTAGCTAATTATTTTAAAAATAACTATATTAATTAGTAGAATATAATATTCTATAACTAACCAATGATAAATGCCGCTCAGACGGTTAGTGGTTAGGGAGCCAACTTCGATACCTAGCGTCTTGGGTTCGAATCCAGGGGAATGCATAGTTCTAATGGTCCGTCCCTTCATAGAAGGCAAAGGTGGCCCACCTATTAGGTGACTGCATAATAAAGTGTCAACTGCTTCTGGTCAAGTCGAAGTCGGCTGAGGGACCATCATTCATGTTTAAAAAAAAAAAAAAAAAAAACTAAACATAACAAAAAAAATCTCAAAGGTTTCAGGTTTTAAACTTACGTCCAAAGAGGGCGTTTTTTTTTAACGTTTTGTGTGCTTACCTTTATTTATTACATATCATATTCTTTGCACTTAAACCATAAAATTCATTTAAATAGCAATGTCGCAAAATAATTTTAAAAAAGCATATCTTTAGAAGAATTTCCGATACACAGTTCCGCGCGCTGGAGATAATTTTTTTTCCTCCCATAGAGTTTGCCATTCCTCGCTTTTAAATCGTTGAGTTTGTTAATCAAAATTCGTTAAAGTTTTACAAAATATGAAATAGATAATAAAAACAATTTTCAAATTTGGGCTTTCCAGATGCCCATATTCGCAGGAGGATTACGTCATTCAAAATTCGATGGCTCTAGTACCGTTGTTTTATCACAATGCGAGAAATATACATATATTTATGCATATTTTTCATTATTTAATTTCTTCGAAATATAATGCAGGACTCTAACACGAAAAAGACTGGTCCTCCAGGATCAAGTCTCTTACACCTAATGATAAACCGTTAAAGTGGGAAAAAAATGAACACTATAAAATATCTGTGGTTTTATAAATTAACTGATGATAAACCGTTAGTCTTTAGAAAATTATTATTTCATATTACGGATAGATTAAATAATAACGGAATGCATAATATGATATTATTGCTAGATTTGTTAAACCGTTCATAAAAAAATAACAGACTATACTACGCCAATAGTTCTGTTTAGCAGCTTTCGGTACAGTCTTTATCAAATTCGTTAAGCTATTATCAACACTGCTGCAAACAAGCTGTTAGCTTTCAGTTAGGGATGGATGAAATTTAGTTTAAAGACCGGCAATCATTATTTAACAGAGGAGAAACATTTGCTCCCCGTGAATTCTTTCCTTCCGGGTGAGGTGGGTCGGTTTCTTTAAAGAAACCGGTGAAGCAAACTACGGGGGGAGAACATACGATTTTCCCGCAGGCAAGTTGGAAAAACCTGCTATTGAAATGACCTTGCTCAGCTGCAGCCAGCTCAACGTCTTACCTTTAAAACCTCCCTCAAGAGAGCCCGCTATAACCCTGCCCGTTTGGCAGGTTTCCCCATCTCCAATTGGCGACATTATTTGGCGAGATTTTAGAGTTCCTTTTTTTCCGTTCCTTATTTTCCGAGTGACATTTTTTCCGTTCCTTATTTTCCAGGGACATTCTTTCCGTTTCCCTTTTTTCCGGGTGACATTTTTTCCGCACACCTACGAGGACTGATGCAGATTAGAACTTATTCATAGGAAATTTTAAATGTCCTAACTGTGTGAATTCCAGACTGTAAAAGTTTTAAGACGGTAGGCCAGTTTTTATTTTGTCTCAAGTAAGTGCCAAGTTAGAGTTGTATTTACTTTAAATTACTTAAGCTAAGATATTAATAAATGTTTATCTCCTGTTTTTGAGTTGCTCAGGTTAACAGCTATGAGTAGATGCTAAATCAAGACAATCTGAGGAGAAATCATTTAATTTAGAACTATACACACAATATCCTTCATTAAACAGACGTGACTAGCCTGTTATGAGAATTTCTCAGCTTAGCCAGTTGTTTATGGGATTACTGACTTAAAAATGAATTTTTTTAATTAAAAAAGATTTCAAAATTGGGAAGTCCAGTTCCTATATAATGAAGTTCCTTTGAAAAATCTTGCATATTTTTCCCGCGATATTTCATACTTTTTCACGATATTTCTTTCTGGTTTAGCATGTTTTAAGTTTACTAACTGGAATTTATTTAAGCATATCGAGAATTACTATTTGACTTATATGAAATAACTATTTCCGCTGTAATTTAGGAATAATAAATTTATTAAATCTTTTCAAATCAAATTGATTGACTTTTTTCCTCAAGACGACTGCCTTTTTGAACAAAAATGCGCCTTAAATTTAATGATTTTTAAAGTATACTTTAAATAATATGTGTACTCTATGCTTCATGAACACTGCATTGAATGCCATTAGCAAATTTCTGATATTTTAGCAGATATAGGAAAAATATATGTAGTTTTGTTTTATTTAATTTTTAATCCTTTTTGTATATTTAGCAGATGCTACCTTTATCATTTCGCCATTCAGTTTTCGTTTATTTTTTAAACTCAACATTTCAAACTGTTTCTCTCTCAGCTTTTATAAATGATTTACGTTGTCACGTTGCAGCTTCGTAAAAATATTTTTTCAGTAAGAAGAATCTGTTTCTCAGACAGAGAATACAAATCCATACTTATCTCTAATCAATCAATAATCTGATTAGTAATCTCAGACAGAGAATACTAATCAGATTATTGATTTATGTGAGAATTTTGGAGCTGTTTTCTGCGAGGAAGTACTCACATATTATTTTCAAATATGCAGAAAGAATAGCTGGTGAGATAAAATTAAACAGAGGTCAACAGGGCAGATACTTTTTTTTATTTAATATCAAACAATGACACGTCCAACTAGAGGGAAAGGATTTAACAAAGAACTTCTTTCCATGCGCATCAACATTCACTAGGTTTAGTATGGCACATGGTCAACAAGAGGACTCTGGAAGCAGTCGGTGTCCTAACCAGGCTCCGTCCAACGACTCCAACAGCTCGGATAAGACGCTGCTGTCCCAACTGCTGCTGCTACTCGACCAAGACGCTGAAAAAAGAAGCAAATAATGTTCACAGAAGATAGATGAAAAAATCAAATTTAAAATTTCGAAATTAAGGAACCTTATGCTATGTATGAGGGATTAGACAAGATTTTTCTTGTTCTCAATCACACTGAAGGACACTTTAGTTTTGAAAACTTAACTTCGATCTCTGTAGACAGTAAAGAGTAAATCGTTTCAATCTTTTATATGCAGAATGTTAGGTTCAATGCAGCAGGGATATAAAAATGATATAAAAGTAGAAAATTTTTAAATGTTAATTTTTTTGGTACATTTTAGTTTAAACTTTTGTTACTAAAATGGCTTAGAATTCATATTTATTTTACAATATTATTTTCAAATATGAAGTTATTTATGGCATTGCAATAGAGATCAACCACTTTTTTTTAATACTTCCTTTTGTTTATTTTTATTTCTCTATTTCATTAACATTTCATTTGGTAATCAGGTATTAAATTACCTAATTCAAGGAACAAAAATTATAAGATCAGGTAATGAGAAAACTAGGAACAAGCCACCAAAAATTATCATAAAGGAAAGAAAAAAATACATATTCGTATAATGGCAATATCCTTTATTAAACAGACGTGACTAGCCTGTTATGAGAATTTCTCAGCTTAGCCAGTTGTTTATGGGATTACTGACTTAAATATGAATTGTTTTTATTAAAAAATATTTCAAAATTGGGAAGTCCAGTTCCTATATAATGAAGTCTTTTGAAAAATCTTACATATTTTCCCCGCGATATTTCACACTTTTTCACGATATTTCTTTCTGGTTTATCATGTGTTAAGCTTACTAACTGGAATTTACTAGGCATGGGGATTGCAATTGTGAATCTATTTAAGGTTTACCCAAATAAATGTTATAAATTTTATTTCTTAAGAACAACTGAATCTGCACTGAAGATTAAAATGGTGTTAATAATGAATAAGAAGAGGATAAGGAACAGAGAATCCAAACATTGCCCTTTTCCTGTTTAAAAGTTCAGCATGGACAGAGAAAACAGTATGCATTTTCTTCCAAGTTGAACTGATGTATTTTCTAAGCAAAGGGTAATCTAAGAGGTAAATTCTATATAAACTGACTGTGGATCCAATTCTTCAAATCCGAGCAAAATGCGGTAGTGTGGATTTTCGTTAGAAAAAACAGTATTATCTATGAGCTGCCTTTTACGACATTTATCATAATAAACAAATTAATTCTCGTCAGTTGTTGAATTAATGCTAAAACATGCGAAAACAAAACTGTTTAAATATTTATAAAAATTTTTGATTCTACAAGGGGTGATTAAGGTCTGAAGAAGAAAGGATATTGCATTAAAATTCATATTTTGCTATATAGTTTAACAAGAATAAAAATGAACAGGAATAATATTTTGTCAGTCAATGTTTCTGGAAATTCTATTTATGTAACTAATAACAAATAAAGATATATTTTGCCTTTTTAAGGGCTTGACAATGCATTAGATTCTCAAATTTACATCCTTAGGCCATACTGAATTCCAAAGGTGCAGAGAACAGCTCAGAGAATTCTTCAAGAAAATGTTGAAAACAAATATTATCCATGAATGATTATGAGAAAAGATGTCTCAATAATCCCGCGTTTAAATCAATTCATATCTGGACTTTGACTCTTTCCCACTTGTTACTATGAGAAAAATATCCCTTCTTAAGACAGCTGTATTTGTGGAGAAAGAGGATCTCGAGAACACTACCTCTTCTCATGCTCATTAACACATGTACATCACAGAGTAATTCGAGTTTCAAAGATTCGAGTTTCAAAAATTTCATCAAAAAATGAACAATATTGTAAAATACATTTTCGAGCAAGCGCAAGATATTAATTAAAGTGTTACGAAAAAGTATTTATATTAGAATAAAAATTTTTCTAATAACTGCATGAAAATGTTTTGTAGAGCTTCTTTAGGATGCTTCAATGGACCAGTAGCAATACGGTACAGTTCCTGTATTGCTATACGGTAAAGTCCTAGTGGCTCTTATCTTATTCCTATCCTGTCCTCTCCTGTCAAGTGGAAGAGAATTTCGGAAATGTAAAAACCAAAAGGCATCGTCAATGAGAATGAGACCGACTCCATAAATATCTTTACCAAAAATATCCTGATCTTTACCAAAAATATAACGTTCATTCGTCAGAAATGCTTTGGAAATAATGATAAGCAATGGTGATTCTCAAGAATAATGCAAATACGAAATGAAATGAAAACAAATGAGCTTTTAATCAATTGTAAAGAGTAAAGATCTAAATTGTTTGTGAGGAAAAAATCCTTGAATTATGATTTTAACTAGAAGTTATAGATTGCATTTGAAATGTTTAAACATAGAAACTAAAATTATATATATGTACAGTGGCACAGGGTGTTAAAATTAGTTCGGTTACTAATAAACTCCTTGTTCACTCTTCAAATGTCCATGAAAGTTTTCAAAATGTAAAAACTGCATTTGTTTGACCAAATTCCCCCTTTCAAACCAACTAATATATTAAAGGCTGGCTCAAAATTTAAATACAAAATGCAGCAAAATATAAAAGTAAATAATTATGGAAATTCAAAACGATCAATTTATATGCAAAGTAAAATTAGGTAAATGCATATGTGAACTTTCCATTTCTAAGTAGAATTACTGCATGACCGTAGCAGCAATTTGCACTTTTTTCACGAAATCTGAATTCATGCCCTAAGGTAGAAATGCTTTGTATGCTGTTTCCTTGGAAAATGATTTAAATAACAAAGATGAAACTTTAGTTTCATAAAATATGGCTGTATGGAAAGAGCATGGAAAAATTAGCATTAAGCAATTAAATGGTTTTCTTTCTCCATTTTTGTATTGCAAAGACACTTGATTATGCATCCTTGACCCCCATGCATCAAATATGAATGAGATTGGATCATGAAAAAAAATGTAAAATTAGAAAATACAAAAGTGCAAAATAATAATCAGCATAATTACAATAAAAATAACTACATTAAAACTGCGAAATAGATTAGTAAATGACTAATTTAAGCATTAATAATAATAATAATAATAATAATAATAATAATAATATTAGTCTCTGGATGTCAACTGTATCAATGCTCTAGCCCACCAATATCGATTGTATAGGTTTTCTTCCTTCAACGAGGAAGATTTTTAGCAAATGATTCTCTGTCCATCTCAAAATTCTGGTTGTACAAAGTACACAAGAGACTGTCATACATACCAGTGCAAGACAGATGTTTAGTGAGACAATCATGTCCGGTCACCAAACAAAATACCGCAACTGCGATGGATCTGGGAGTGTCCGGGATATTATAACTCGAATCCCTTCACTTCTTATTCTTAATTTCTTCAAGTAATTTAACTTCAAAATTAAACTGCGATGGATCTGGGAGTGTCCGGGATATTATAACTCGAATCCCTTCACTTCTTATTCTTAATTTCTTCAAGTAATTTAACTTCAAAATTTTTCCTCGGGGTATTTTTTCTATTCTTTTCATTGATGTAAATGGTACTCCACTATTATTTTAATTGTAAAATTTCAGTTTCCTTTTTAGCTAGTTTATCAGCCCGTTCATTACCAGTAACTCCAACATACTCTGGCATTCACTGTAAACAACAGTCATCCCTTTTGAGGCTAGAAGATAAAAAATTCTTCTGAAAGATTCAATACTGTTTTATTCCGAGATATTATGTGCAGAAATCGCTTGAATGGCTGAAAGAGAGTCTGATAAAATAACAATATTTTTGAGTTGGATTGTTCCAACAATAATTTGTTCAGTTAGAACTCCAATTGCCTCCAGTTCTCCATCGAAATTGGCCCGAAATGGACCAAGAAAAGAATAGTGGAATGCAAAAGCTCTGAATACACGCCAGCTCCAACTTTGTCGGCATTTTCGATTCAACAGTATATATGGGAAGCCTATTATTCTTTGGTCACCTGGAGTAAATTTTCTCCATAGCAGCTGCTTTAGTTCACTATGATGATGACTTTGCTTTAGCGTACACCAAATAAAATTCAATTATAACAGATCCTAGTGAGTTAGACGTGTTAGTTATCATAGCTATTCTGTGGGAACATCCAGGAGTGAATAGTCTGATTCCAATTTTAAAACCTTTTGAAAAAAAAATCCATTCTGATTTTTCAGTTTTCTATGTCTGGAGATATCACAATGTCTCCATAGCTCTGTCGATGGTAATCTGATTAATTTTTCGTATAGTATTAAAGCTCTCTTCCGCATAATTCCCTTCAATGGTTTATTGCCTGTGAGGGCAAGCATTGCCTATATTGGAGTGGTTTTCAAATCATTTTTACAAATAAAGATGTTGAAATTTCAGAACGTTTAACTGAAGCGAATATTTTGGCTGGCATTAAAATCGCAGCTAAAAGGATAATGAGGAAGATGCGGAATTGAAAATAAAATTGAATTTAGACGGCTTCACTCTATGGGCTAAACATGCAGAATCCAAAACGATCCGAGATTTGTGCGAAATAAAGGGTTGCAAAAAATAAAGTTAAACATTCTCTGTCTTATTATTAAGCACCAAAGCAATACAACATTCCTGAAACAAGAATGATCTTAGACGCAAAAATCCGAAGAACTATAACAACAATCCTGAAAATACGAGCCCCTTATTGCAATGTAAAGGGTGATGAAGCAGTAGTCAAACTGTTGAAAGAGAGGATACAAAAATGGATATTCAGCTCAATAGACGCTCTTAATTCTAAATCTTATCTAAACATAAAATACGAAAGTTGCTTCTTACACAGTTGCAAACTAAACAGAAAAAATGGCTTCCGTGGCCGACACTTTTCCCCTGAAAAATAACGGCAGTATTTAAATTTGAGTCTTCTACTGCCTTCTTACGCAGTAGATGACTCGAAGCTTTCATCTGAATTTCATGATGCTTGTCAGTATCTTTCGAGTATTGCTCTGGGTATCAACAATACTTCTGTTTGTTTGTGGACCATTTGATATGGTTTATTTCTTTAGATTTGTCCAGAATACCATCAGAACTATTGATGGTCAACGCAAGCTGCGGCTGCAGTATTGGGTTTATCAAACTCGTGCAGTAAAGAAAGTCTCGGATGCTTTTATTGGTTATTATTTGAAACCCTTGAACTCGTGAGTTATTGGGAACAACTCGGTGCCTCTACATGTTGTATTTGATAGTGAAAGATTGCTGTCACCTATATTATCATCACTACGCTATTTGAATCCTAAACTATATGCTATCCTACAGTATTTGCATCTATAAAAGGGGTAGAACATTTGTAAATACCCATTATATACTACTTTATATCAAAACTGACTGATTGTCTACTTCATGTACTATTCATGTACAACTATAAATATGTTGCTAAATATATGATATTTGTATCGTTCAAATATAAAATTCAGATAAATAATTTAAATCAAATAAGTATTAAGCTAATTATAATACAATTTTACGCTTAAAAGGCATATATTACAACAGAAACTTACAAGCAATTATCAAAAAGAGAAAACGTTCGTAGCTTAACTTTAAAAGATTTTTCTTAAATTTAAGCAAAAATTTATTTTTAGTAAACACTGAATTCAATTTACATGAACAACTGCCAGCGAATTTCTGCATCCCTGCAAAAATTTAAATTAAATCATGGTGTGTTATCTGATAGATTCCTAAATTTATATTCTTTTTTTCAAATAAATTTTTTTAAATAAAACAAAAACTTCATTTGGCGTATTTATTATCAGTCGTTTTCTGCAATTTACTTTGGAAATGAAATAAAAAAGCATCGAGTTTTTTTTTAATGAATATAGTTTTTGTGAACGGGTTTTTCTGCAGTCATATTTTAATCAAAAGTTTAATGAAAATTTTAATTTTTTTCACTAAAATATAAAAATATAAATCTAAGTGATAGTGGTTACAAATATACTCAGAACTAGTTTCGTAATCAGTCAGTTAATGAAGAAAACATTTGATCTACCGAAAAAAAATTGCTGTTAAAAAAAATTTTTTTTTGAGTTAATGAGTTTTGACCGAGATTTCTTATTTTGAATCTGAGACTCTGATTTTTTGACTCTGAATACTGACAATTTTGAGACGAAACACATATGTGTTTCGTCTCAAAACTGTCAGTATTTGCAACGTGCTTAAAAGCAAGAATATTTTAAGAACTATCTTTGAGAAAATCTGAATAACGATTTCAGTTTTTCTGGAAACGTTTTCTAATAAACATTCAAATTTTATAAGAATTACCTTATTTATAAAAGTTTACTAAATTTTAATCTCATATATAATAATCTGTATCATCAGACTGACTGATGAACATTTACAATTTATGATAGTTTCTACGTTTCCTCCAAGGTTACAAGCTTTATCAAAATCAAAATGCCATGAGTTGTTGAAGTTGAAAGTCGTAATAAGAAAAAAAGGAAATTTATAATTATTTATGCGCAAATATATGTAATTACATAATGTCAAATATATCAAAATTTAAGATAAAAAGTTTTAATTTTACAAGAATTACTTTTTTTTATTAGAGTTTACTAAATTTTAATCTGATATACACTCTTCTGGAGAAAAAAAAAATCGAAGCACCATGAAGGAAGCGGTTTGTTTTGATGAAACTGAATATGTGTATAGCTCATAGATGGAGAATAAAATGATTAAAAAATCAAGGTCATAGTACCTGTTTACGGCTCATATCACCCATTGAGTGTTAAAATTAGTAGTTGGTCGAAACGTCCCTGGCGGCAATGCATGCTTGAATTCGTCGAGACAACGAGTGGTTAAAGGTTCCTAATGTCATCCTGCCAGGCATTCATCAGTTGTCGCTCCAGATCTACGATATTTTGTGGAGCCCGAATCTGGCGGCCAACGACGTCCCAAAATGCCCGATTGATGAAAGGTCTGGTGACCTTGCTGGCCAAGGAAGAGTATCAACTGCACAGAGACAGTGCAGAGATATGTGGCCTTGTATTATCTTGTTGGATAATGGCCTCAGAATGACGTGCCATGAAGGGTACCGGAATGACGTCAGAATGACGTGCCATGCAACCGGCCGCAGAATGATATCAACATATCGTTGAGCTGTTAAAGATGTACGGATGATGACTAGAGATAACCTGCTGTCATAAGAAATAGTGCACCACACCATCACACCAGGGGTTATGGCTGTATGCCTTTGTAAAACAAAGGCTGAATGGGACCAATGGCCTTCATCCTCTCCAGAGACGAACATGGTGGTCATCTGCTTCAAGAGTGAAGCGGGATTCATCGCTGAACACTATACGATGCCAGTCTGATGACAGCCAAGTTGATCGGCTGCGACACCACCTCAGGACTACTCCGCCGATGTTGTGGGGTCAAAGGCAAACGTCTTAAAGGCCTCTCTGAGTGTAACCTCGCCTCGGATGATGGACGGTATCACGGGAGGTATAGATGAGGCTGTAGTGCATTGAATAGTCGACAATGATACCGTTGGGCAGTTCGGGCCTGGCGAACAATCATGCTATCTTGTCTCGCGTTTGTGCTCCTTGGCCTCCCAGAGCCTTCATTTCGTTGGCAGTTTCCTTTTAGCAACCATTGCTGCCAACATTTTTGCACAGCAGTGTCTGTACGCTGCAGGTGGCGGCCTATTGCTCGGTATAACCACCGAACTTCACGCACCCCGACAGTGTGACCATGTTCGAAGACGTTTTAGTTGTCTGTAAGGTCTTCGATATCGTCGTAATGACATATTGAATTCCGTCTTTACGAAATTACTGTGGCAGCAACAAAAAAGATAAATTTTTCGATTGCGAATTGCGCACCAGACAGGCGCGCTATGATCACAATTACTGTTCATTTGCCTCGAAACTTTGTTCATTCGCATGCTCGATCAAAATGTTTTTACATACCAAATTTCGTCACGATCTCAAAAGTCCTTCTTGAAGCTTCAATTTTTTTGCAACAGAGTGTATAATATTATGTATGCTTACATAATGTCAAAAATATCAAAATTTAAAGTAAATTCAAATTATATAAGGATTACTTTTTATTACAGTTTACAAAATTTAATCTGATATATAATATATATTACTTACATAATATCAAAACTATCAAAATTTAAGGGTAACAGAATTCAAATTTTATAACAAATACTTTTTATATTAAAGTTTACTAAATTTTAATCTGATATATAATAAATAATATGGGTACTTACATAATGTAAAAAATATCAAAATTTAAGGTACAATATTCGTAATATAAGAACAAGCAGAGATTTATTATAGTAAATCTGGAATTTATTAAAGTTATTTTGTAACCATGTTTATTTCACTCATGTATTATTTGAAGTATGTAATCCATTAAACATAGCTGTTTAGGGAAATGAAAGGGAATCTTGGGATTTATCAAGCGTGAAAGCAAATATCTGGCATTTATTTATTACGTTCTCGATATTTATGATTTTTGAAATACAAGTAAAAGGTTTTGTCAAAACGCTAATTGTCAGTTATGATATTGCTTTTTTATCTAAAAGATAGATGTGATAATGTTTCATTTAGGGTTTCAGAATATGCTAAAAAATCCCTACACATATTTTTTTTGGAAATTATTCAATTGTCTGAGGTCATACAGATAACAAATATTACACTATAAAATACATAAATCAGCCTTAAGTACACCAACTCTTACATTCAAAACGAACAAACATTAATAAACTACAAAATGTACACAGCATGCTATATCTGCACTGGAATTATTCATATTTAATTATATTCAAAAATCACAATAGTGCATAACATTTTTAAAAGTGTTTGAATGTGCTTCGTGAATTTTTCCTTCGGGTTTAAGAAATTCATGAAAATAGGTTTTCATCAAGTGCAGGTGATTTTAAAAAAGTGCACCTGAAAAAAAGTCATTTCTTCTATTTTACGAAAAGAATACAAAAACCACCTTTATTTAAAAAAACATGATTAAAAAGAGAAAAAAAAATGAAAAGACATGAACGTACAAACGCCCAACCTGTGGTTGAGGCAGGGTTCCATTAGCTGAGGAACATCTCACCAGAGGGCCAGAGAGTGATTACATTCTGTAGACTTCGCCACAGGAGGCGTCGTACCAGAGTCGTGGGCCTGCAAACAGCACACAGAGATAGATATCAGGAAAAAGGGGAAAATGTGAAGTGTCAAGATGGTAAAGGGATACATCTGGTGTTTCACCACAACTGAAGTTAAACCAAACGATACTGAATTTCTTTCTGTTTTACTCTCGAAAACAGCGTGCCTTACTATCGATTACTAACGATTTTAGATCAGTTAAATCCTCCTCTTAAAATTTCGAACTGATAAATTTATACTAAATATGTGAATTAAATATCTGTATAATGCTCGCAACAGCAAACGGCCAAGTTTACATGTAACTTTTGTTACATCAACGCATCGGATCTATCATGCTTTTTTTTTTAGAAATAATATAAAAATTTTATGTTTGAAGCAGCAAAGAATATCTCAATTTGAAAATATTTGAATTTTTAAAATTATACTAAGCTTTTGAGAATATCAAATTTAATGCACGGGAGGGTATCCTAAACATCATTTCAAATAAATTACAATGAAATGCTATAATTGAAATGGATGCATTTTTGATAAACCTACATGTACTCATCTGATTGGAACATACGAGGTTGTTTTTAATTAAATTCTGATAAGCTTGGAAATAAAATTACTAATGAAGAAAAGCGCTTTAAAATTCTTCAAAACGATTAGATTTCCCAATTAGAAGCAGATATCTTTCCGATTAAAATACTTATTACAACGCCACCAATTATGGTATGCCTTTGTCATAAGAGCTTGCCGCTTAACCATTGTATATCATCAGTCCTCGAGTATTTCCTTCTCCACGTTTCTTTCATGGATGTTTGTTCATCTTTCTTGAAACTTCATAGTATGCGCAACACTATCAATAATGCAATTCTTTGATAAGACGTTTATTGTCACGCAAGTTTGTAAGAAAATTTCTTTTAAGCCATAAGTGCTGCTATATTACGCGCCAGTTGTTCCCGTTCGTAGGAGTTTAGAACCTCTAGAACGAAGCATTTTGGAACATGCATTCAGTTTAAAATCTTTTCTCATGAACGAAGTATCTAAAAAAGTGATGTGAGATTCGAAAATTATTTCTTTTCCAAATATTTTTTCATCAGTCATAAATGCCTGAAATTTTTTGTGTTAAAATTGCTGCCACAACTTTTTGCAATGTCTAAAAGAAAAATGGAAGTGTCACATTTAAGTGAATCACATAGCATAAGAAGAAATGTTGGCGAAGGAGGCCTCAAAAGAACCTTTGCCAATTATCAATTCACTGACATATCTTGAACTGCATTCCATTAGAAGACATGCTGATAGGCAAATTTGGATCGTTCCCCCGAGTCATCCCTGGTATCAAGCTGATTGTCCTGGAAGGTCCCTTGTATGGATTGCGAAAGATGTGTTCAGACAACACTTCCCGATCTTCAGTGGGCACCTGAGGGGACTACTTTTGAGAGTGGTATCAATGCACCCAATTTGTTCTAAGTCACAATGCACCCGCATCACGGCACATTCCTTGAGTGCCTGGAGTTGTCTCTTGTGGACCTTTACGATCTCCTAAGCTTGTTTTCGATTTTTAAAGGTGAATGGACTCGCTGAAGGCAAAATTTGGCTCGTTCCCCCGAGTCATCCCTGGTATCAAGCTGATTGTCTGGGAAGGTCCCATGTTATGGATGCGAAAGATGTGTTCAGACAGCACTTTCCCGATTCTTCATGGGCCCTGAGGGACTTACTTTTGAGGTGGTATCAAGATGCACCAATTTGTTCTAGTGTCACAATGCACCCGCATCACCGGCACATATCCTTGGTGCTGGAGTTGTCTCTGTGGACCTTTACGGGTCTCCTAAGCTTGTTTTCGATTTTTTAAACGTGAATGGACTCGTGGACCTCGTCTAGTATATTCCTAGGCATGGAGATTAGTAACAACAACAACAGCAACAGAAGAAACCTGTTGCGAGGCTTAAAAAATTCTAATAGTATCCAGAGGAACAGTTGAGATCTTTCAGAAAGATTGTTTAGTAAGTTTTAGGATTGTTTAAGAAGAAAGAAAAGTTGATACCGAAGAATGCACAATTCAGTTTAGTGAGCGGAATTAATTTAGCTTTTGGCAACAATCCTTTTCGTTTCTTCCTCTCAACAAACAACAATCGTTATTTCAAATACATACTTCACCTCGTAAGTACTCAAAGAACTGCCACTCGAATACGGGTTAAGCGGCAGTCAAGGTGTTGATAGGCGATGACCAATCTGCGATGAGTTCCAAATGCGTTTTAGCTTTCAGAGTGAATAGAATCTCCAGACATAATAAAGTCCTCATTCTATTGGTGTTTTGACTCCAATAGGCGTAATTACTCATACACTAAACAGTCCTGAATACTAGATAGAAATAAGAGTGACTAAGCATTTGTATTAACGTACTTGAATAACATAACAAAGATCTAATTTCTGTCAATCCTATGTTTATTCCCAAGCTCTTCAAAATTTAATTAAAAACAGCTCTCTCGTTTTTCGAGTAAGGACTGAATTAAATTTATCCTCCTGAAAATTGCTAATATTTAATTTAAATACTGAAGAAAATATATCAGGATCATGCTTAAGCAATACAATATTTTTTTGAGTCATTTCATACATTTGAATCAATTATATTTTGTTTCGAGAGTAAAACATGGAAGATAACTGAAAGCAGGGGCAGGTGCAACATGCAAGGAACAGCAGGATTAGCTCTACGTTAGGATGAATTTTCAGCCACCTAAAACAATACATAATTCTTTGACTGAAACATCCAAATGCTGTTCTCATACTTTAACAAACAAACATCCAGAGACGACAAGAATTTCAATTTTCATTACTACTGAGATTTTAAAAATTAGTTGATAATTATTCTCTAACAACATACTACTTACTTCAAAATCCAAGTAACATATTGCTGGTATTTAGTAATAAAAATGCAGAACTCAGAATGCTTTCATCAAAGGTGTAGATAATTTTTTTAATCGATAAATAATTGTTCTGACATTTATTGGAAATTTGAAGATAAAAGTGTTGAGCAACATGCCAAACTGCATCCGTAAAACATAAGCAAGACAAAAGAAACAGAGAATACTATGAAAAAGAGTTAATGATAAATAAGAAAAATTTCAAGAATATCTATATAAGAACTAATTATCGAAACTGAACTCTTAATTGAAAGAAAAATATGGTAGATTGCAGAGTGATATAACCAGGGACAGATTAAAAAATTATTCTGCTTCAAGAATGGAACATAAGAACCAATTATATGTCTTCCTTTCCTAGGGTAAAACCAAAACGATTCTTGTCAAGAATTTAAAAAGAATTTTCCAACTGTTGAAAGGATTCAAAATTTACAAAAAAAATTCGGAAAAACGTAAGAAAAAATTATATTCAAAATTCTTGTAATAAAATACTGAATTTTTTTCAATCAAAATTCCAAAATTGTATTTCAAAAATACCTTGTATCGTTTAAAAATGGTGCTGAAAATAAGCAAAAATTATCATGATTTTACACCGCTTTGAATATTAGTAAAAAATCTTCATTTTCAAAATTATTGTCTGAATTACTTAACGAAACTAACGATTAACGTATATTCGTGCAGAAACGTATCAAAAACAATGATAAAATAAATAACATCGTGCTACAAAATAGGGAATGATCATGCACATGCTTTTCTGCAAAAGGTGAAGTTTACCATGCAGTGTCCTGAAAAAATTAAAGCAATTAAATAATTTCATTCATATAGTATTTACATACACACACACATCATTTTTAGAAGCAGACAGACATGCTTAAATTATTGACAGATACAATAATGTGACAAAAATAGTATTACATACAGTAAAGTATAGTTTGAAAACAGGTAATTATTAATTAAACATAGTAACTAGAATGTTCATTTTACAAGAAACATTTTCGCACATTATGTGCAAATTCAGCATTTACCACAAAACATACAAGTGACACACTGCATTTAAAAGTGAAACATGCATTACTTAAATGCAAATAGTAAATCAAAATTTAAAATATTTTATACACATTTTTGGAATAATTTCCAAATTGCATAACGTTTCGGGAATAGTAATACACAGGAAGTTGCTTAAGGTTTAATGTTTTATACATAACTGAAATCTAGTTTTAAAAGGTTTATAAAAGTAGCAGTAAGTATGGTTAAAGATGAATGAAATTTTTCTTTTACCTATTTAATTTAATTTTCTTTTACCTATAAAATTTCTTTTACCTATTAATTTTACCTAATAATTTATTAATATTTTTAGCTGAAAATACTAAAAATATTATAGCAAAATAGTTGTTAGAAATAAAAAGCAGTAATTAATTAACAGATGCAGTACAAAACAATTTTTTTTGTAATCAATAATATAGTGTACCACAATTAAAACTGTTTACTGTGTTTTTGAGTTCGAGAATAAATTCTATGCAGTATTAAGTTTGCTTAAAAATTAAAATACACTGAGAATGCGTTTAGACCGAAATATTTCGATACAAAAATGAAATCGCAGCGGGGGAAGGAGGAGGAAGATTTATAAAGAATTTATTGTGCTTCTGTTTTAAAATCCTGCTTTAACTGTAGAGTTATACAGTTACTTTATTCCAAATTGGAAAAACTCTTTAAATCTATTAAAAAAATAATTCTTAGTCATTTACTACATTTCTCATTAACAATATTTTAGGACAAAATTAAAATTTAGAACAAATTTAAAACTATCTTTTCTTTTTACTTCCTTGTACGAAGTAAAAAGGAAGTATTGTAATCGCGAAAAGTTTCAGGCAGCATATTTTAACGAAAATATCCATTTGACCGCTATCGAATGCATTAACGATGTTCTTGCGTTGTCGGACGTCGTACAGAATAAAAGACTCGTTTCCTCCAAAAATAAAAACTCTTAAATGAATTCTGAAAGAATTTTCATGGCATCTGTCAACGTATGTACGTACGTATCTCGCATAATCAAAAAACGAGTAGCCTCAGAACGTTGAAATTTTATATATAGGACTGATATAACTCTAGATGTGC